TTTAAAAATTATCATTTTTAAAATATTTGAAAATGGTCATTTTAAAATCCAAGGCCTTCGCATAAAAATGACCACTAATTTATGCGTCTTCTCGTACATGATACAATATATACAATAAATTAAGACCATGCAACATCATATCTTGTAGCATCTCCAACACCATTAGCTTAAAGATAACAAAACAGCATATTTGTGGTTTCTAATTTGTTGTCTGTCTTTTTCCCACTAACGTGGAGATTAGTGGACCGTCACAGATCGGATGGTACTTCCTTCAACCAGTCACTGTTTTCTTCATTCAAGACTCACTAAACGATGCACCATCTATAAATTCATCATACTCCACTACGATTTCTTGTCGCGCTAGATGTTTGCCATGTCGAATTTCCTTGCACAAATGATACATTTTAAGGATTTTGTGGTTCTAATAAGTTGATTGATATGAGAAAACATAAGCTTGGATCATTTAGTGTACATCTAGTGTACTAGTGAAGTCTTTTCATTTTCTCTGGTTTTTATTGATGTGCTTATTCCTTGACATGTCATCTAGAAACTATATAGTAAATCACAAAAAACTTCGAACCAAAATCCTTGAGCAGTCGCATACCAAGACAGTTAAAACCCATGAATCCTCCAACCTCAATTTGGTGATGAAGATTGAGCAGGAAGCGTGAGGGGCGGGCCATTACAATATGAGAATTATTCTTAGATATCGAAGCAAACAACAAATCCCCGAAACGCATAGAGTGATACAGGACAAACAAAACTAAAGTATATATCCATCAACATACGAAGATTGTCACGCCCAATCGAATGCATCGAATCCACCAATATGCAGAGCGCAGAGAGAATGAGAGCCGGTCCATTCATTCGAATTGGTAGTGTTTATCAACAGCAACAGAGACATCCCAAGTGCAACTCATTCCTTTAGGGAAAACAACAAAGTCGCCTGCTTCGATCTCTATGCCTTCCTCGGATCCATCAGGATACACTTTCACTTTCCCTTCTAGCAAATAACATGTCTCCTTTGCACTATACGTCCATGGAAACTTGCTTGGTGGACAACCCCACCTGTACCAACCAATTCACCCACAAAATCAGAAAATCTGCATCAATTGCAAATAGCTTCTACATACAGTAGAAGTATCAATGTGTCATGGAGATCGAATTCGACAAAAAACACAAAATTTAAAGGCTTTCTTCCTCCAGGCAACCAAAAGGCTAAAACTTTCTATATCAACAGCACCAAATGAATATGTAGATCAACTTAACGACTCTGTTTGTACTAATTGGGTTCGAATCAAGAGCTAAGATCAAGATGCTAAAGACTTTCTTACTCAGGAGTACCAAATGAACACAATATGGTTTTGAATTGAGAGGTAAGGTGAAGAAGAAGTGCGTACTTGGGCCAATTACGAACACCGAGTTGGGTGAGTTTAGACTCGGGAGGATTCTTCTCAACAAAGATCCCTAATTTGTCAGTAGCGATTGACTCGGCTCGAATCGTAGACATGGCTAGTCCTCTTGAGTTGAAGGGCTTGTTTGGTGTTCTTACGAGCATCGGTCGATATGGATTGATGCTTGTTAGATTGACAATACCGATGCAGCCCATTTTGCTTCCCTAGTAAACTTGTTCTCTTTTTGGGTATAATAATAACAATACTTCTCTTATTCCATAACCGAATTTACTCCATTTTGATTTTATTTTCGGGACCAATCCGTAAGTCTTTGGTTTTGGTGTAACATGATCCATTCATGCCTCATCTTTTCAGCAGGTCTTAGATTTTTTTTTTTTCTAGTCACGAGATTTCTTTTTAATTTAAAGATTCAAATAAAAAAAAGAAAATATAATGGACCATAATGTAATTCAAATAATTATACTTAAGTCAATATCGAGAAATTTAATACAATTAAATACTTCCATAATCATATATTAAGCCAAAAATGATCTCAAACTAAATTAAAAAAAAAAATTCATATAAAGGGGGAATTTAAAAATGTCATTTTTAGAATACAATTTTGCAAAAATACCATTATGAATTATTCATTTTAAAAAATCTCAAAAATTAAGGATTTTTTAACAAATAACATTTCTCAAAAATTCTATTAAAATAACA